GAGGTTTTGAACTTTGATTGGAGAACTATTCTCGCGTCACCTTAGACCTACATTGATCGATTCTCTTCATCGACTCTCTCTTTCGTTGATTGCTCGGCTCCAAAAACATGTTCAGCTGTTCTTATCGTCCAATACGCTTAAAATACTTTCTTTTAGCAAAATATGTAGAAAAATTAGCCCTAAATATGAATGCAGCCAAGTTATTAACGAAAGAGAAAGTCGATGAAGAGAATCGATCAATATAGATTGGTCTATTTGAAAAGTGACGCGAGTATTCACTCCCAAATAGTTTTCCTTAGAATATTAAGGCCCACGCACATAAGATCGGGATCAGACGCGTTGCAGCAAAGTGACAGCTAAATCTATTGTCTAACTGTCAAATTTACGTCAACGCAACGCAAACGGATCTAATGTGGGTGGCCTTTAGAATAACAACGTTAAACCAGATACATGACAGTTGCCAGTATGCAATCTACGAATTACTCCGTTACAAACGATGCAACGAGATTTGGTATCACTTTCGTACGTTTCGAAGTTTTACTCCAGTTTGTATGATTAGGTTTCGCAAAAGGGTTACAATAGGAACGGTTTCCATCACGATCCGCCTTTTTGAGTACCTGAATAATTGCACGATTCTTCAACATTCTCAGCCCTCATCGGCACTTTAATGCAGGAACCCAAAAGTAGGTAAAGCGGGTCAAAGTCTAGATCAAAGTAGTTTTCATTTACTTCTGTACAATTCGTATGGAATTTTCCAGTAGCTTTCTACCCAAAAGTAAGTTAGTTGTACCCAAAAGTAGGTAAATATGATTATACACCGAAAATAGTTTTCATGTAGCTTCCATTGGAAACGCAAATGATTTTCATCCATAAACAAAATTAATGAAATTCATCTGAATTTCACATAACATTTATGCGATCACATTAATTTTATATGATTTTTCATATGAATTTCATCGGCCTCATAATATTCATGTGGTTTTGTGGTGGGATTTTTGGCTATCTGATCACATGAAAGCTATGTGAAATTCACATGGTTTTCATCCATTGATGTGATAAATTATTTGAGTGTACTCAACGTTGGGTTCCCGCACTTGACTACCCCTGGTTTTGCTATTCCGTTTTTGACAACATTAGAGGGAGAAAAGGAGACAAACTAGTCAAAAGTAGGTAAAAGTGAACTGGCCGTTGGGCACTTTTTTCTTACCGTGAAGTGTCAGTGGAACTCACAGGTCAAGAGCAAATTTTCATTACGTCGAATGTAACAAAGGTAAACAAAGTCGAGCTATCAGTGTCAATCGATGCTCCTGCTATTACACTATACATACTGTCCGAATATAGGATCACATCCCATTTTTGAATTTATTTACCAGTCGAATTGCTTTTTGACGTAATCACCTTCCGCTCAAAATAGTTTTCGATGTTACTTAAGTCACCCAATTTCTATGGAGATGCCGTTTGCCTTAAGTAACAGCACTGAGAAACCCGTGAAAAGTGTACTTTCGTCGTTTCGCTTTCTCATTATTAAAGTGAATAAATCGAACTGTTTGTTGCTAAGATGATTTCGGTGGTCCTAAAATGATGAATGGGCTGCACGTAAGGAGACGTAATTGATAATTCTCCCGAATATCCTGGTAAATACACTTTGACTTAAGTAACAATAGGGGCCACCAAACGACGTATAATATCTTTTGACTCAAAAACCAGTATTTCTTAGCATGAAAGCTAGCGATTTGCGTTTGTATGATTAAAAGCCGGCTAAATATGTTAAACATTGCTATCACTATGAGATTATATGTGTTTAATTGGAAATAGGAATAACTTTTCGGTCATCAAAACAAAACTTTATTTTTCTCGGATCGGTGCGAATGTTACTTACGACATAATGAAAATTTGCTCTTGAGGTATTAGTATAAACGCTATTTCAAAACTACCCAAATTTGGGTAGAATCCACCCAGGTCTCAACTAAACCTACCTAAAAATGGGTAAACTGTGTTTTCAGTAACAAGTTGACAAATGAACAACATCGATATGAATCCGATCGACGTTGTTAATTTGTCAACTTGTCACTATCAACATAGTTTACCCATTTTTGGGAAGGTTCAGTTTTGATAGATCTGGGTGGTTTGTACCCAAATTTGGGAAGTTTTCTAATAGCGTGTAGTGTGTGAGTGATCTGGTGTTAATGGTGCTGAATGTAAACATAAACAAAGCAGAAATTCTCGCGCAACCCGAGAAAAGGGCCTATCATTGTTGATCGATTCTCTTCATCGATTTTCTCTTTCGCGAATAACCCGACAAAGCAAATCACCTTGATACCAGTCCCGAAGTGACGTTTCTTCACACACATTTTGACAGTTCCTTATGGGGTTTTGCGTTGGAGTGAGAGAATAAGAAAAAGTCCGCCAACATACGCGATGATCGATTCTCTTCGTCGATTTTCTCTTTTGTTAATAACTCGCTAGATTTAACGTTTCTCGGTGCGTTTGCTGTTGCTTTTGATAGCCAATACAACCTGTTAGTACTCTGCATTGAACAAATTCTAGAAAATTGTTTCGCTTAGCTGTAACAATGCAAAGAGAAAATCGATGAAGAGAATCTACCATCGCGTATTCGCCCTTATGCATGCTCACTGTCGAAATATGTTGCCGTACACGGTAAGAAAAACCGTACCCAACGGAAAGTTCACTTTTACCTACTTTTGACTAGTTTCTCTCCTTTTCTCCTTCTAATGTTGTCAAAAACGGAGGAGCAAAACCACCAGGGTTAGTAAAGTGTGGGAACCCAACGTTGAGTATAATCATATTTACCTACTTTTGGGTACAACTAACTTACTTTTGGTTAAAAAGCCAGTGGAAAATTCCATACGAATTGCACACAAGTAATGAAAATTACTTTGACCCGGTTTACCTACTTTTGGTTTCCTGCACTATAGTGCCGAGATGAGTGAAAAGAACTTAATTTTGGGTACTTTTTTCTAACCGTGTTTGGTAAACCAAAGAGAAAATCGATGAAGAGAATCGATCAACGAGACAAACTAGTCAAAAGTAAAGAGCCTAAATTGACGAGTGCACGGATGGATTTGAGTTCACTCACTCGACAAAAAGTGACAACAGCGGGGCCCTGTTTACTAAAAATGAACACATATGTGTTCAATTTTAGTAAACAGGGCCCCGCTGTTGTGTCACTTTTTGTCGAGTGAGTGAACTCAAATCCATCCGTGCACTCGTCAATTTATATAGAGGCCACATGTCAAAATTGGAACAATCGATTGTCGGTCAAAGTCATTCCAATCAAGCAGAAGACCTGTCAAATGGATAAGATGTCGTCTCTTTATAAATTCAGGCTCTTTAGTCAAAAGTAGGTAAAAGTGAACTGGCCGTTGGGTACTACTTTTTTCTTACCGTGTAAGCAAAAGGGCCATGCACGGCGAATGAGAACAACCCAAATTTGCGTGTAAACTAATAAATCGCAAAGTGCATGAACTCAGCGATGAGTAAATTTGCCCCATGTTTTCCCGAATATGAGAAATGTAAAGATTGGATTCACTCAGTCTATTGGTACTCTCATAGAATGAGTTAAATTTTCGTCAATTTTTCTCATTATCCAGCAGATTTTTGAGGGTTTCATCTGCAAATTCACTCATCGCTGAATTCCTGCACTTTTGGTGATTATGAGTGAACTAAACTTAAATTTCGCCGTGTGCGTCGCAAATTGAGTGAAATCGATTAAATGCTTGTTTATAAACAGCCTTTTGATTATTAATCATGCTAGTAGCAACAGCTGTTATTGTTTACCCTAATAAAAATTGTATGGTTAATTTGCTTAACGACGTGTTCTGGATATCATCCAAACCATTTATGGAATAGTTCAATAATTTGGGTTATCGTTCGTTTATGGTTATTTTTTATTAGAGGACTCAATTTAACTTGAATTTTACAATATTATTCAATACATAACAAATGAACTAAATTTACCAATGAACCAATGATGTAATTGCTGTGAAATTTTTATATAATTTTATTCATAAATACATAGGGGTGGCCTATATTGCCCCGTGTGAGGTTCATTTTGAGGAAGATGATTTTTGACCAATTATAAACGCTGTCCAGGCTGGAGAGTTAGAAACATGTTATAACGGTTGTCAAAAAATTGCAACACAGAAACCACCATCAAGATAGCGCTATAACATGTTATAACTCTGTAGTCTGAACGTTCTAATAGGGAATATTTACCTATTCTCTGTTATTGATGGTTCAATTAATCAGTATTAGTGATGCCTTAATGCAGGAATTGTAGGAAACTGTATTTGGAAATTCGAAATGCCTTATTTTATGATGTCTAATTGTTATAAATACATTTCGATTTTTGACACATCAGTACAATAAGATTTTTTTTTTTGCAATTTTTGTAAGATTTCATTTTGGACAGAACTTTCTATAATGCTGCATAAAAACACCATTCATAGTTTTATGGGTGAGCACTCTTGCCTCACCTGACCCTAAGGGACTGTTCTTAAACTAGAAACTATGCCGATAAGCTTTCAATGTTCCATCAACCAGCTGCTAAAACAGGAATTTCAGAAAATTGCTTCCCTTAGCTGTAGCAATTTAAAAAGAAAATCGACGAAAAGAATCGATCATCGCAGTTAGGCCCTTATGCATGCTCACTGTCGAACTATTTGATTTTTTTTAGACAAAGAAACTGTAGTAAACATCACAAAATAACTCGCAAAATAAGCACCTGTCTCATCAAAGCTAACATCAAATGTTCTATAGTAAGATGATATTCCTGATGAGCTTAAAAAATTCCCAGTTTCTCCTGGTGAAAATAGAATCCCGACTCTTTCCCGGTTCTCCTGGCAAGTTGTTACCCAAAAAATTCAAATAAACACAATTTGGACATTAACCTAGCCGAACAGACTTTGTGTAGAAAGCCGTATGAGTTTATTTAATTTAACACTTATATACACTTATATATTTTCTTTAATACTTTACAGTTTGATTTCAACGAGTACGGTGTTATTTTCCTGGCATCCTTCCTGCTGACGGTTCTGTTCGAGACACCGTTCAGCAACATCAAAAGGCTACTGTTCGACAGAAATCGGAAAAAGACGCACGTACCGACGCTTCACGACAAGCAAGGTCAGCTGGACATCAACGTGAATAGCAGCAAATCGATCATCTATTCTTCCGATCCGGTTGCCAAGGAACTGAAGGATAGATGAAAATCATACAAACCATCTTCTCATCCACCAACCCACACGAGTATTATCCTAGTAGCAGAGGGCACATGTGAAATTAACTTTTAAGTATTAAAAGGTACGGAAGTAAAAGACTTGAAACAATAATTAATGCTAGTATTATTTGCAGTCTATTTCTAACATAACTTATCCGAACGTTAAAACAAGCCAACCGGATTGGAAAATAAAATTCTACATATTGCTGATAGAAAGTCTCTCGTAAAATAACTTATTCAACATTCCAAATCAACAAGCCCGCAGAAAGGCTGGCTTCTAAAATATTACGTGTTTATGTTTGTACTTACTTACATTCAGAATGCTGTCAACAGCAAATCACGGATTGCATCGCGATAATAGTCTCTTAAAAAAAGTACTGTTTAATATTAAATACTATGTTTACTTCTGTGATTGTGTCAAGTTCAGCTCTTCGCGGTTCAAAATTAGCATCGGTTCATCCACCTGGAAGCGTTCAATCATTTCCTGAAAATTCGATAGCTTGAATTAGTAATGATTTAAAGAATACAGCCAACCGATTCAACTGACCCTCCACTTCTTCGGATTCAGGCCGAAAATAGCTTGCGTAGTCTCATTCATCCTTTGGGCTTGTTCGTTCTCCTCCTGGGTGGTAGGTCGTATAGTCGGTTCGTCGTTGTCATCTTTCAAGAGAGCAACTCTGCCATCACGAATCAGGAACGATATCTGAAACGCATTATCCACCGTGTTCATGAAATCCTCTGGATCGATTATCAACTCGTAGTACGGTATCGCATGCCGCCGTTGTTCGAAGATTTTTCGAATCTGATTGAAGATCAGGTTCAACTTTTGAGCGGTCTTCTCCCTCCGTAGAAGTTTGTCTACAGTAGATGGTTTCTTCGCTTCGCCGAAATCCGTCCGCTGCCTTTGTGACCGTTGTTTGGCTTCCTTTTGGACCACTACGGGCTCGTGTTCGAAGGTGCCATACAGCGATTGATTGTGCTTGGACATCAAAAACACAGCGGCAGCTTCCCGTGTGATCTTGTCCCAATTTTCAATACCCTGTTCCGCATCGAAACTGGACAACTGTAAAAAAACAAAATCGGAAAATGATGTTAGCTTATGTTAACAACCTGTTGAAATATAGTTAGGTTTACGATCCATTCAAGAAAACCTAAACTCACAATCACGCCCACAAATTCATCATCGGAAAATTCGGAACTGCCCATCTTCTGCATCGCAGCATGGACCACATCGTGGCTCATTTTGAGGACCTGTGCATCCATCAGGACCTCGGTGGCATTCTCCGCCCGGTCTTTGATGCGACCCTCGCTCTGAAGGGCATTGGATGTCTCCAGAATTTTCGTTACTGCCTGGAATGTTTCCACCGGATCGGTTGTTTCCGCCCGCAACCCCAGCTGTGCCCCCTCCTCGAGCAGTTGCTTATACTTTTGCTTACGCAGCGAACGCTGCATTTTCGTTTTAATTTCTTCACGGTCCATTGCGTTTTATTGTAACACAAAATTCAACAATAAAAGGGCACTAACATTCAATTTAGAGATTTTAACAGTAGCAAATTAAACGAAAACAATTTTATAGAAAGAACGGTTCACAATGTTTAGCGGGATATTCTACTTCAATGTAAAGCGCGCGATGCGTTGCTAAACAAAACAGTGTCATGTTTCAAACGTGATGTTTGGACAATGATGTTTATATAAGGTAAGTACCAACAGGCAGTTTGCTGGTATTAGAAGCAAAAATGTTGTAAAATGCTGAGCAATCAAGTGACGACGTCACTCTACCATAACATTCCAAAAACTTCTATGACGTTTGTGAATTCCACATGTATTAGTGCAGAACTTTGGGAAAATTCAAAGGTTTTCTTGCACTAATACTTATAATTTACCCCGAGTTCTGCAGTAATACTTGTGCATTACACAAACGTCTACAGTGAGATTTATGTTACTACCAACAGCTGTTTCGTGTAAAAAGATAAACATTGCAATAAAATACGAATCACATTAAACATTTCACGCGACTCTTTTCAAATAGTCTAATGCAAGAGCCACATGTGAAAAGGGCATACAAGCTTTTTGTAAACAAACCTTTGTAGGCCCTCTTCTCGCCAACCGAGGGTCGCCCACGCAAACTAATAACATCATCGGGAAGGGAAGAGCTTTTCCTATCCGGTGATGTTGATGGTTTGCGTTGGTGTCATATGGGTGGCGAGAAAAGTGCATAAGAATGTTTGTTTACAAAAAAGCTTGTATGCCCTTTTCACATGTGGCTCTTGAATGTATCAAACATATCCGCCATTTATGGCTGTAAGCTCCAATCGGTATTATCCTCGGATTAAATCCCGATCAAGAATGTCCGGCTGCTTTGATGTCAACATCAGAGTTATTCAACACGATGCTATGCAAACAATTCGCAGATCATCCAAACAGGGACGGTATTAAAAGTTAATCCGAGTTGGAGCTTACCGCCATTAGAGAAAATCGCAATTGAAGTTCGACAGATTATTATTTCAACTGTTTAAATCTGGATCAACAATAGAAAAGGGCCCATCAGCATTTGTAAACAAACCGTTCCAAAGCCCTTTACTCACAAAGCGAAGACCACCCACGCAAACCAAGACCATCATCGGATAGGGGAAACTTCTACCTATACGATGATGGTGTTGGTTTGTGTGAGCGGTCTTCGATTTGTGAGGAATGGGCTTTGGAATGGTTTGTTTACAAATGCTGATGGGCCCTTTTCTATTGTTGATCCAGAAATTTAATGCTACAATATAGAAAAAAATCACATAGGACGTTTTGACTAGTCAAGTTGTGCATCGGACATGCTACATTGGACGATTTTTCTCAATGACTTAATCATGATACTAGATTCCCTTTTACAGATTTCAGAGTAGAATCAACCGGTGGAAAATAACGATTTTAAATTGGCTTACTACTTGACTAGCCTATTGGTCCCAAGCAAATCGATTAACGTACCCCATTCTAGTCAAAATTCTAGTACTACACAATGTTTGTTTTGATTTGCTATGAAAGTTTGACAGATAAAATGAGGGGTTAGTGGTTTTTCCTATGTTTCGAGGGGTGAATCGATTAGCTTGGGACGGAAGATAGTACCAGAGCTGAGCCAAAAAGTTGAGCACCTTTCTTCGGGACCTACTAGTCTTAGAGTTACCTCTATGGTAGAATCATAGAGGTAACTCTAAGACTAGAAGCAACAATCAATACGAAACTAACGATTTTAAATTGGCTCACTATTTGGCTAGCCTATTGGTCCCAAGCAAACGATTAACGTACCCCATTCTAGTCGAAATTCTAGTACTACACAATGTTTGTTTTGGTTCGCTATGAAAGTTTGACAGATAAAACGAGGGGTTAGTGGATTTTCCTATGTTTCGAGGGGTGAATCGATTAGCTTGGGACCGAAGAGAGTACCAGAGCTGAGCCAAAAAGTTGAGCACGTTTCTTCGGGACCTTCTAGTCTTAGAGTTACCTCTATGCTTTGAAAAAAAGTTGATAGAATATTACCAACAATCAATACGAAACTAACGATTTTAAATTGGCTCACCACTTTAGTAGCCTATTGGTCCCAAGCAAACGATTAACGTACCCTATTCTAGTTGAAATTCTATTACTACACTATGTTTGTTTTGATTCGCTATGAAAGTTTCACAGATAACATCAGGGGTGTGTGGATTCATGCAGAACATGCAGGGGTGAGTGAAATAGCTTGGGACTGCTTGGGACCGTTGTTCTGGTACTGAGTGAGCCAAAAATAATAATGATTTTCTTCGGGATCCAGTGGTCTTAGAGTTACCTCTATGATATTACAGTTGTTGAAAAGTTGATAGAATATTACAGTCATCAACGTGATTTGTTCTCAAATTTTGTGTACATCGTACAACTTAATATTAGAAACGGAATGACTAATGTGTAGCAGTTTTGATGTAATATTCAACAACTTTTTTTGTATTCGTCAGATGTGGTATGTGTCCCCAGTGGGATGCCTTGACCTCTTATCATTTTCAAGAGCTGACATCTACTAACTAGACGTGAAAAAAAACTGGCATTACTGATAAGTTCGAAATGTGGCGCCACCATAACAAATGCAAGCACATTCCCAACTAAAACATTATTTGCGATGAATGTGATTGTGAGTGTTATGTCTGTTTGTCTGTGGTAGGAGCATCAATTGACGCTGATAGCTCGACTTTGTTTACCTTTGTTACTTTCGACGTAATGAAAATTTGCTCCCGTCGGTGATTGGCACTAGATTGCGGAACAGAGACCGACGTTAAATAAAGGAAAAGAAGAAGAAGAAGAAAATTTGCTCTTGATGTCACACCTTATGAAATTTTTAAGTCTATTTGCCTCAGTGTACTGAAGTCAATTATCAAGGGCCGGCCCAACCGGCTTATTGGTATTAGTGTAATATGAAAATGTATATCTTTTTGCACGAAACAGCTGTTTTCTGCGAGGTTTTCTGTGACGACACGTCTGCCATTTGCAGTCAGTGATGCCACATTTACACATTTATCTGTAACCAAACAGATTATTTCAATATTTTGATACAGATATCTGTATGTACAGATTACAGATTTTGACGTAGGACTACGTCTGTGATTTCTATATGGAGATACACTTTGTGAATACCAAAAAAAGGAACATGTAACAAAATTATGAAAGATTTTGAACGTAAATAACTCAGCTGCCCCTCGACCAATTTAAATAATTTTATCACCAATCGATCAGAAATATTCCTAAGTATCTGTCAAGTTTAAGACTTTATCATTTTTCAAAATGTCACGAATGAAAATTATCACCGATTGTCTGCGAAAAGCAATTTCCCTAACACAGATTTCTAAGTTGAATTCCATCCGGTCTCACCAAACCTCGCACCAAACGGTGTTTATTCAATCACCACGTGGTGAGTGCCACGAAACGAAAATCAATTATTTAATTCATGTCTTTCACTTATACATTTTTGCCAAAGCATCAGCCTTATACCACAGACAAACAGACATAACACATTGAGTATTTTTCACTGTAAAACATCGTCGTTAAAACATTACCGCCATCTGTTGAGTACACTGTGGTGGGCACTACGCTGAACAGATGGCGGTAGTGCTTAAACGTCAGACGCAAGGGAATTGACTATGCGCGCCACAAGTGGCGGTACTACCAACTACGATACTTTTAAATTGTCCGTTAAATGCTTGTTCGATGAACAACTTGCGAGTGTTATGTCTGTTTGTCTGTGCTTATACATTCCATAAGATAAACCACATAGGTCCTATTAGAATGCATAAAAGGTATGTGTGACCGCTTATACATTTCATTTGACACATGATTTTTATTAACTTTTTGCAAGGCGTCTGCTTATTAGTTGACTTATACATTTTATGAATAATCAGCAATGGAAATTTGCCAAAAGGTATAAGGAGATTTCTATCCGTGTGGTGGTGTTCTCCAGTACACAACGAAAGGCTGCCTGCAAGCAGCGAGCTGCAGCTGACATGAGGGGAAGAAGCCGTACCGCTATTGATCGGAATCAGTAACTCTTCGTGAGTCGCTGTGGGCCATCTATGTCAAACGCGTCATACTAACGAGTATACACAGAGAGAACTCCGTTCAAAACGCATATGTTTACCCCTAGGAGGAATTTGAGGTTGATTGTCGAGTCTACTTTGACATGAGATTTTGACATCCAGATGCTTTTTAATTGGGTCATGGTCCAACTAGCGAACACCCAACTAACGAGCACCCCAACTAACGAGCCCCCAACGAGCGGATCTCCGCTGTACCTATCTCAAATAGATACGCTATTCTTCCAATCGATGTTGGTAATATCACACCAGCAGTTATGAAGCAAACCAAGAAGAAGAGGTCACATTAGGGCCAGTCTGATGGTGGGAGTGGACGCGATGATGCCAACGCCAGCGATATCGGTGATTTCGGCGAAGCCGTCGAAAATGAGAATTCTGCCGGCCCGAGTGCGGCAAAAGTGAAAATTCCTCCACTCGTGGTGAAGAAAGTGCCACTCAACACGCTGATTGGCGGTTTCGCATCGCTGGGCGTCACAGCCGAGTTCAAACTCAGCAGGATCGGCACCAAGGTACAAAAATGTACGCAGCAAAAAAAAAATGTTATATCGATCAATGTAATTCAAGCTGATGTATGAAATAATGATGTAATAGAAAATCAGATACAATATTACATCAATGGATGTAATTTTGTTCGCAAAATCGATGTACATCGTACAACGTTATATTACACAACCGATGGATTGACCTGGTTGCAGCAGTTTGGATGTAATATTCAATCATGTTTTTTTTCTGTGTATTATGAAGTGATCGTGATATACCTGAAGGATTCCAAGGCGGAATATTTCACGGTGATTCTGCTTCCGGTGATTCTGCTGAACGAAGCTCTCCACCCCTTGGATTCTGGAGACAAAAAACAGTGTAAAACAACAACCCCGATCTGCTCTCAGCGGATAAACTGATGGAAATTTTCGTCAGCA